CCCCCCCCCACTTTTTAAAAAAATCACAGTGGCTTTGTAGTGTAATTTCAAGTCAGGGATTGTGATACCCTCTGCCTTGTCTTTGTTGCTTAGAATTGCCTTATTGTTTCAAATGAATTTTAGGATTGTTTTCTCTAATTCTGTGGAATTTTCATTGGGATTGCATTAAATCTGTGTAACAATTTTGGAAGTATTTGACTGACAGGTGGATAATCAAGATGTGGGTTTTTTGTTTGTTTGTTTTTTGTTTCTTTTTGGTACCAGGGATTGAACTCGGGTCCTTGTGCTTGCAAGGCAAGCGGCAGAACCACCGAGCTAAATCCCTGGCCCCAAGATGTGGTGTTTTAATACAATGGAGTACTACTTTGCTATAAAGAAGGATGAGCTTCAGACATTTATAGCTAAATGGATGGACCTTGAGACCATACTTTTAAGTGAAATAAATCGGACACACACATTTAAATACTGAAACTCTGATGTGAGAAACTGAAAGTGGAAATAAGGACTGAGATGTATAACGGATGTTGGGAAATGGGAAGAAAGTGTTCAAATGGGAAGGGGAACTGGGGAGGAGGGAGGAAGAAAGGAAGGAAGAGCCAAGAAAAAAATGAAAATGGGGCGGGGGATTAAGCTCAGTGGCATTGTGCCTGCCTCGAAAGTGCAAGGTCCTGAGTTTGATTCCTGGTACAAAAAAGGAAAAAATAAAAAAGAAAGAAAAGAAAGAAAGAAAATAGGAGGAAAACTGGAAATAAAGCTTTTTTGTACATAGGGAGGGGAGAGGGCTTGAGGCAGAGAATGGGATAAAATTTTTTAAAATGGAAGTATGACGATTTTCACTATACTGGTTTTTCCTACCCAAGAATGAGGGATATCTTTCCATTTTCTGATATATTTCCTCTTCGAGCTCCTTTTTCAGAGTACTGTAGGTTTCCATGTAAAGCTCTTTTACTTCCTTTGTTAGATTGATTCCTAGGTATTTCATTTTTTTGGATGCTACTGAGAAAGGTGTTGTTTCCTTAATTTCTCTGTCAGTGAGTTTGTTATTTGTGTACAGGAATGCTACTGATTTTTGTGTTGATTTTGTATCCAGCTACATGATTGAATTTAGTTATTAAATCTAGAAAGTCTTGGTGGAGTTTTTGGGGTCTTCTATGTAGATAACATGTCATCTGCAAATAATGATAATTTAACTTCTTCCTTTCCTATCCTTATTCCTTTTATTTCTTTCTCTTGTCTAATTGCTCCGGCTAATGTTTCCAGAACAGTATTAAATAGGAGTGGTGACAGTGGACATATTTGTCTTGTTCTTGTTTTTTTTTTTT